CCACATGGGTGATAACCAGGGCAAACTTTGGGCAACAAGGAAGGGTGGCATGGTATAGGCAAAGAAAAGACCAGTAGTTGGAGGTGATCCTAATACCTAACTATTATTTACAAGGTTGAGGTTATGCATACATAAGACAGGTACTCCAAGAATGTACAAAGGTGCACAACGATTATGTAATTTACCGGGACATTGTCCATAGAGAGAAAATTGTACATGACACCATATAAACCACTATTGTTTTACGAGTAGGTCAAACCCACTACAACCGCACCGCCCCGCCCAACTACGTAGCCTGGCTCATCACATCCAAAAGTTACGATGGGAGAACCACACCCCATCATAAAGAACGACACAACAAGTGGGAAAACCACGATAGGCACCAAGCGGTGACCTGCACACCGCCCCACAAAACCTTCCCTTGGGTCCGATTTGATTCTCCCACCCATGCCCACAGGCCAGCACTGAGAATGCCATGCACAATACCTAGGTCGCTATTGACTTATAGCTCTGAGGAGAGACAGCAACTATGTACACAAGGGAGCCCAACGGCCACAATACCAGAGACGCTGTTTCAGCGCTCCTCCCCCATGGCACGATGCCACTGTGCCAAGACCCACGTTTGGGTCATACTGTATATACTTTGGTTTCTTTTACCCCTTTCCTCTGTCATTCCCGAACCTCCCACCCCCGGGCGCAACAACGTAGTCGCACAGGCGCCGTCTAAGCGGTGCACCATACGAACCCTGCAACATCTGCAAATCCATATAGGCACAGCAGAACTGCAAACGAGCACCCTTTATCACCCACCCATCACATGAAAATATATTCACACAATTGCAGGGGACTAAACACCCCACATAAAAGGCGCATGATGCTGGAGGAAGCCAAACAGACTCAGGCGGACATTATCTGTTTACAAGAGACCCATTTTGTTACATCTAGGGTGCCTAACTTTGGAGCACAACATTACCCTCACCAATATCACGCAACTCACTCCTCCAAATCGAGAGGGGCCTCAATCCTTCTCCATTCCTCCTTAACAGTTGAAGCCCTAAACCTAATCAAAGACAAACAAGGAAGATTTGTAATGCTACATTGCCTCCTAAATAACCTGCCATATATTATAGTCAGCTTCTATGCTCCCAATGTACACCAACGCGCCTTCCTACGTAAGGTGCTCTCTGCACTCCCATCCTAACCAGACTGCCCCACTTATATTATGTGGAGATCTTAACCACCCTCTTGACCCACACATGGACACCACACTAAACACCACGACACCGAGGCACAAAGCACTCAAAGCACAAAGTAAAGCAATCAATACACTGCTAGGGGAATATGGCCTATACGACCCTTGGAGAGCCTTCCATCCTAATGAGAAAACGTTCACGTTCTTTTCAGCAGTGCATAAATCATATTCACGGATAGACTTCATTTTCATAACAGGTACATTGCTTACCAGAGTAACAAATAGCGAAATCGGGGACATAACATGGTCAGACCATGCCCCGACCACAATAGAGCTGACTGAGGAATACCAACATAGGGGACGGCCACCGTGGCGACTCAATGATTCCCTTCTAGGTGACCAGACATTCACTACAACATTAACAGAAGCCCTGACATCATATTTCCAAACTAATGATACGCCGGATGTCCATCCGACCACTGTGTGGCAAGCATCAGAGGACTCCTCATCAGCAGAGCCTCCTTTTTAAAAAAGAAAGCACAACAAGAACACCTACACCTGCTGCGCACTTTAAGAGACGCAACAGCGGCAAACATAGTAGACCCATCACCACAACTAGCACAGACGATCCATGATACTACGACGAGTATCAACAACATGGCAATCTCTAAAACAGCACACATTTTACATAAGCTGAAACAAAAAACCTACTCACAAGGAAACAAAGCAGGCAGGAATCTAGCGACTTTACTACGTCAAAAACAATCCAATGCAAAAATCCCCTATCTGCTCACCTCCCAAGGCTCTAAAATCCACAACCCACAAGATATTAATGATACTATGGCAGACTATTACCACTCATTATACAACCTCAAAGAAGACCCCACACTACATCAACCCACATCCCAAGACATTCAAAATCTACTTGGACAGTTCTCGCTGCCAACACTGACGGAACACCAGAAAACTATCCTACAACACCCAGTCACACAAGAAGAAATACAACAAGCTATACACTCACTCCCCCATGGCAAATCACCGGGACCCGACGGACTCACAAACTCCTACTACAAGACAATGACCACAATCCTAACCCCATATCTGGACAAAACCTTTAACCATATCCTCACGACGGGCCAAGTGCCCCAAGACATGCTCATGGCACATGTGGCTACATTGCCAAAACCAGGCAAACCACCTAACAAATGCCAAAATCTAAGACCAATCTCCCTCCTTAACACGGACATCAAATTACTGGCAAAAATTTTCTCTAACAGATTAAAGAACATTATCTCGACCCTGGTACACGAGGACCAGGTGGGATTTGTTAGTGGTAGGCAAGGAGCGGACGGAACCCGAAAGATCTTGGACCTACTACAGGGAGGAAGCGGAGGGGGGGCCCAGTGCGTTATGCTGTCACTTGACGCTGAAAAAGCCTTCGACAGATTGCATTGGCCCTTCCTCCAAGCTGTTCTGATCAAATATGGCTTCCCAGACACTTTCTTACGGTTAGTAAAGGCATTATACTCTAAACCGACAGCGAAAGTCACCAATGGGGGCTTTAGCTCTAAACAATTCCACATAACCAACGGGTCAAGACAGGGCTGCCCACTATCGCCTCTCCTTTATATTCTCTCGCTAGAACCTCTCACGCAACTCATTAGGGACAACCCAAACATACACGGCATTACGAGACAAGGCAAAGAACACAAACTCACACTTTTTGCAGACGACATCCTCTTAACACTCGAGCAACCACACATATCCCTACCTAACTTCCACGATACGCTCACCCAATACAGCAAGTGCTCCTATTATAAACTTAATATAAATAAAACTCAAGCAATGGGCATAAATATCCCGATGGAGGTCTTGGATAGGTTGCGTATCTCTTTTAAATACGACTGGCGAAGCGACCATCTAAAATTCCTAGGAATCAATCTCACCCCAAATCTAGCAAACCTTTTTAAAATAAACTATCAAAAAACACTGACTGAAATAAAAAACCTACTACTAGGATGGAAGAGTAAATTCGTATCTTGGTCAGGGAGAATTGCCGCAATTAAAATGATCATTGTACCTAAAATGCAATACTTGTTTAGAACGTTACCCATAAAGAT